GAAAGCTTCCAGTTTTAAAACAATATAATTTGAATTCTATCCAGGAACGAAACTGGAAAAAAACGAAATAGTTAATTACAGGGTATTGACAGAAGTTCAAAAGCGGCAAGTCGAATTTAAGAATTTTGGAAGTCATGTAGATAGAGAAAGGGGAGTCGTTTGAATAACGGACGGGTGAAGCTAGTAAAGAAACAACACTTTTTGCCAGTATACAGCTGGGTGATATGCGTTCGTGCCTTTGTTCAGATAGTCCGATTTGAAAACGCGTAATAGTGGCTTCGAACTTCGAAGCGATGGTTTAAGCCTCTATTTTTGTATGGTTTTGATAAGAGTTGCAGCACAATTAGGTCTTATAAGTGTCGAGTATTAGATGTGTCACAAGAGATTAACAAACAAAGAAAAGGAAAGAGGAGAGAAAAGAGCCATAGATGTTTGATGGAGCAAACAACACCAGATCGAGCACCCGCACCTATTATTTTTTACTCTATGTTGACGCAGCTCACAGTAGTAAAAGTAAAGTTTAGCCCCCACCCCCCTGTGCCTACCCATCACGACGATCACAGCTCTCTATTTTTTGATGCTATAAGATATTATTGCGAGCCAGTTGTGACCCCTAAAGCTCCCCGGATGTTGTGCACCAGGTCGAGCACATCGAAACTGTACTAATGACCACTTGTCGGAGACAACCTCTTGTACAAAAAGACTATGTCTCACTTCCCCGCTTGCACTTGTTCTATAAAGACACTTTGCAAGACGACCACTTGTCTAAGAAGACCACTTTCCTCCTCGACAATAAGTTGATAAGTAGTCGTCTTGAAAGTATTGGACTGTAGTTCGAAAGGGGAAAAAAGGGGGGGGGGGTGCAACTTTATTTTTTACGTATATGCCCTATAAACCACTCTTTATATCTTTCTAAAGTAAATATTTTACGCGCTTGCAACACAAATAGGTCATATATAAGTGTCCAATATTTAAAACATAGTGAAATGGTATAGGTTTAACACTATTTATTGGTTATTTAAGAGGAAGGATCTACGAGCTTTACGTTCATCTCCGAAAGGACCGAGCCAAATGGGAATTCAGCGAAAAGTGCCTTTCCCAAGGACACAACATCGGACAGAGCTCAGGCTCGAACCCTGGAACCCGCAAACCTCACAATGAAGCGGCCAGTAACCTAACCACTAGGCTACCGACGCCCCACCGCCGAATATAAGATTAGAGGTGATACTAGAGAGTAACGTACAAAGAAAAAAAGGGCATAGAGATACAGACGTGTGGAATCTTTGCTCACTTTGTAGAAGCAGATTCTTTTGACGAAGCTGGATAATGAAGATAGCGGGCCCCCTTCTGGATGATGATGTTTCTTTTCTTCTCAAGATCTAGATGCACAAAACGCCCGCATGGCCATTGTTCTACTCCCTGACCGACTTGGTCCCTTGTTGATCACACCAGTGAGTGAACGGGTCTCTCAAGTCCCGTGAATCTATTCAGGTCGGTGCAGGGTCAGATATTCGCCAGTACAGACTTGCCGGTGTCAACTTATTCTTTAAGATACATGTTTTTAGTTAGTTATATTTTTACTGCTTTCTGCCCGCCAGGAAGTGTACTGCTCCGACAGAAAGATGTTGTAATTGTCCAGCAAGACGAAGAAGAAGAAGAAGGGGGACAAGCCGAACCGGTGGAGGTGGAAGTGTACTGGCGCCAGCCCCCGACAGACTCTGAGCTGAACGTCACAGCATTCGGGGTACAGTGGGGGCGGCTCTCGAGAGACAACGAGAACGGAACTTCGGGGAGTGCCCAGCTGCTGGACGGCAACTTTACCGTGACCAGTGGGGTAAGATCAGAGTTGTAGTACCTGATTAAAGGTTAGATTGGGGGGGTGGGGGTGGGGGTACGATTAGAGTTGAAATACTTGATGAAAGGGCAGATAGGGGGTACGATTAGAGTTGGAATACCTGATTAAAAGTAAAATGGTGGGTAAGATTAGA